TTCACGTTGTTTTGATATACTCATGCCAATAATGGTTGTCACCCCCCTGCTCACCCCACCCCACCCCCACCTCACACCCTCACCCCACGCCCCCTCTCCAATTAAAAAATTGAAGGGGGTGACAACCATTATTGTCATGAGTATATATTGATGCAAAGTGCATTTATCTTGAATTTTCTTTTAGTCCGCCGATACTGCAATGTATATTTGTCACTTCAGTCATCCTTTCGGTTTGTTACTCAACACATAGTTCTATGTGATTAAACACCAGAAATACATTATCATGAATTACAACGAATACATGAATGAATACACGGGGTGTACGAATGGCTTGCAGTATGCTCGATGCAATATCACACACGTTTTATACACGCTGAAGGTCCGGGTTCGATTCCTACATGGGTGCAATATGTAAAGTCAATTTCTAGTGTCCCCCGCCGTCATATTGCTGGAATAGTGCTAAAAGCGGAGAAATATCCATACTCGCTCAATCACTGAAGAGCATAGCCCCTCGTACCTATCGGTATTTTCTGCATCTTCCCCATCCCCAGAGACCACAGCGAGTGAAATCTGGGAATGGTTTGGCCACCAGCAGGGTATAGGCCACATGTGCCTTTCTGTAACAAACTTCCATTTTTGTATAAGACATTATGGCAAATATATTTGCACTCGAACGATATCTTCAAAAGAAACACAACGTAATAGACTTATTTGTACTACGGTAACTATTGGTTGGCTGACTATAAACTAAAATGATAGTCGTTAACCAGATTTAATGTGATATTATTCAATCGTTTCACTTTTTCGTATTATTTTTATGGTAAAATGCTGCGGCAAATAATGATAGAGAAGTGACGCATACCTCATTACTCCTCTGAGCTGTAGTGGATGTATTGATCCGATGTGGATCAGCTCAGGATCCACTCCTCCACCAAGCCCAATCTGTTGTATAAACATCGCACCTATTGTATAAACATCCCCTTTATTGTACCACTCCTGTATTTATACATCTCTGGCTTCCATTCACTTTCCTCTGTGTACTCACTGGCTTCATCAGCTTACTGCTTAACCAATTATGTTGTTTCCTTTGTCAATTACAATGTATGTAGTTTCATTGTTATACACAGTATAAATATGCAGCTCCTCCACTTCATGTATCACTCTTGCTTGACAACGGTACAAGAATCTGTATCGACACGTCGCACTCACCAAATAAAGAAGTTGTTATCCATAAAAACTTGTTCCATATTGTACGTCTCAACTTCTAAAATGCCACTCAAACAGGTTACAGCGTTCGTTTTACACGGCGAAGACCTAGGTTCGATTCCCGACATGGGTACAATTTCTGGTGTCCTATTGCTGGAATATTTCTAAAAGCGGCGAAAAACCATACTCACTCACTCTTTGAATATCATGATGGTTATCTTGACATGATTGTTCGGATATTTGCGGATCTTCCGTTGAAGATTTGTGCTTGTTATGAACCATACGTTTGGTTCCAGGGTAATGGCAAAAGGGGAAACCACAATTTGGATAGGAAGTATAATCGTTAACAAACTTTTCAAATACAGACATCTTATGAACGCGTCACCTTTCTCTTTATCACAACGCATGGAATGCACGTGCCCAACGCAGTAGCCCCACACACGTGCAGGGAGTGTCATTCTTGACGGTTTTCAAGAAGGTCGATAAATCACTGTAGACCACTAATTTTGACAATCATCTTGCGTCACACAGTTATTAGTGTTTGTTTCTAATCGTTTTCTTTTGTGTTTCAAAATGGAATCACGACACACACCAATCATCTTTCAAGAGCGATTACTGTACGAACAACTATTGTCATAACGACAGACAGACAGATGGTTTATTATAGTCTCACCTCATGAATACATAGAAGTATATTAAAGTATTAAAACGAGCCACTCCTTTTGGAGTTATGAGAGACTAAGCATTAAAAAGTACAAATTAAATATACTAATAATACTAATGAGAAAAACAAGAAGGATAATATACACAGGTAAAAGGTAAAAACACTACTAGGTATATCAAATATCCTTACGTAAATTTGAAATGGCTTTGCAGGTTATGGCACTTACATGTACAACACTTGGGCTGGCCAGGATAAAACATAGCTTAACATCATCTATGACATAAAATCAGGCCACTCGTCATTACATTTAGTTAAACGATCTTTATGGACATCATTATAAACTGGACATTGAAGTAAAACATGCGTCTCATCTTCCACACAGTCGGTACAGTTAAAACACACTCTCTCATTGACGGGAAGGTTCGTATAGCGCCCAGTTTCAAGCCTAATCTGTGCAACCCAACATACCGCTAGAGATCCTCTGTTTGGTCTCGACATCGGGAGTTTATGGTAGTATTCCACTCTGTAGTCGTCCTTGAACTTGTTATATAGACGCAGTTTGTTACCCCCTTGCCTCTAATACTGTTATCCTAATTTAAAACACTTTCCCACTTTTCTCTGAACTTCATAAAAACTCCCTCTTTCACCTCCCTGACAATACGTCTGTAGTGATAGTTGTTTTTGTTGGAATAAAAACATTCAATCCAAGGGCTTTATATTTTACGTGGACTCTAAAATTCCAATTTTCTTATTTTTAAAAGCATGATTATTTGCCCATATAAAAAAATTTCTTGATGGTCTGTGGTCTTGAAGGGAACTTAATCGCTTGTAAAACTTAGACACGGTCTCCCATTTGCGAACTGTAGGAGTCCATCCCATTTGTGTAGCGACCAGAACTGGGATAAATACAAACTGGGGCCTGTTTATCCCGGTTCTGGACGTATCTCCGCTACACACCTACTAGACTAAGGCTTAGTCTCTGAATATATATAATTTTGATAGTAACAAACAAGCCCATTTATATTGAAAAGGAGCCCTAGGGAGACCAGGAGGAAATCTAGACTTGCTTTATTTAGGGCTTTAGCACTGCAGAGAGGGCTTGGCAGTAGGGAAATTAATGTGGTTCAGGGACTGTGAGACAGACTACACACCTACGTGCTCCGTGTTTTGCGCCCATGTCTGCAGTGCGAGCTACACATGCACCAGAAGGTGATTGACAGGTCCTTGATCTGTAGATAGTATCTGACGTTCTATCCCGTGTCAGCCCAGCGTGATTTTGAGACGGGAGATTGATACGATAGTAGGATACATTTGCGACTGGCGTTTTGAATAGTACTTCAACAGGATTATGTCAAGTGGGCACGCAAAGTCTCCGTTCCGTTTAGAAGTATCCTTCAATGTATTAGTCATGAGAGATTTTATGAGTTTCACACTTACCTGAACAAAGTAAACAATTACCTTTTTAGAAAACATATTTGGTAGCTTCCAAACAAGGTATCCTGTCCGAAACCTGCCTGAAAATGGAGATATATATTTTCATGGTGAGAGGGTAAAGAAGGAAGATCTCGAATGTAGAGCTACTGATTAAAGAAGATGGGTGCACAGTCATTGCCGAAGTATAAACTGTGCACTGAATAATATTCTAAACTAACACGTTTTGAAACATCAATCTTCGTCTGGTAGACAGCTGGCTCACCAAGACAGAATTGAAATACCAATCTTCGTCTGATAGACAGGTGGCTCACCAAGACTGAATTGAAATATCAATCTTCGTCTGATAGACACGTGACTCGCCAAGACAATTGAAATATCAATCTTCGTCTGATAGACATTTGACTCACCAAGACTGAATTGAAATATCAATCTTCGTCTGATAGACACGTGACTCACCAAGCGAGAATAGAAATATCCATCTTCGTCTTATAGACACGTGGCTTACCAAGAGAGAATTGAAATATCAATCTTCGTCTGATAGACACGTGACTCGCCAAGACAGAACAGATTTAGCAGTCCTTCTCTCCAGACATCACATCGTTACCGCAAATTCTGTACTGATTGTGTCGCCATATTGACATGCAGAACTACCAACCATGGTTGAAGAAAAATTCTATTTGATTTGTATGGAGAGCAATATTTTTTTCACCAGCAATTTCCCACAAATTAGTTACTCAGTAAGAACCATCAAGCTGTCTATTCTATTCACAATGTACACAGAGGTTTGGCGTTGGGTTATCATGTGGACGTGTGAGCTGGTGTCCTGCCAACATATTTGAATGTATGAATGAATGGATGCGTGATCATGTTGTATGGGTGTTTGTATATATAGTTGGTATTGGATTGTGACATCTTTTGCAAAGTAAACAAGGCTAAATTATACTTTGCTATCACTGATAGTCATTATATTATTATAGTGACCATGACGTCTGTACCTCATTTTGGGTGATCTTTGTACAGCATGTATTGCTGTATCTGTTTTGTACCACATATTGCACAAATGATGAGACATGAATAAAAACGTTTGTATTGTATTGTACTGTAGCGTATCTTTTAACGTCTTTCGCTATCGAACCATCAACAGTCAGCTCTCTGGACAATTGTTCGATGCGCTATACCACGGAGGCAGTCGTTGTAGAGGTGAGTGAGTGGGTGTGTTTTTACGCTATCTTTCCAATAATCATGCAATATCCAAGCGGGGGACTCCAGAAAGGGACTTCACACACTGCACCCATTACGGGAAGCTAACCCAGATCCTCGTTAACTGTTGTTAAACCAATACTTGAGTGGCATAAATAGCAACACTTAATTTTAAGAATACTATAATCTCCTGCTAATGGGGTGGGTTTGGAGACCATCTCCTTGTCTTACGCCTTCAACAACACTGATAGAGTGACCAAAGACCAAACTAAAAAGAATTAAGTACAGTGTTCACTCACTACAAGTTGTTATAATACATAAACACGTCGCAATTTACTGCTAGGATTGAAATGAAAAAAAGATATCCGCTGCATAGTCACTGTGAAATTCTCGCTAATCTAAATATAAGTCTATGTCACGTTGACATACGGCGACCCGGACAAAATGCGCATGCTCAGTGGTGATGAAAATCAAATGCATAGTTTCGTATTCGGAATACAGTGGTGCCAAGGTCTCGGTAATCTAGCACTTACTGGGAAAGTTTATGTCAGTCCAGTTTAATCACAAGCGACAAGTACCTGGTATGTATGTAAATGCTGTTCCATTTCACGTGTGTTGTTGCGAGCAAGCCTGTGCTGGCTCTATAGCTTTATCGAAGCCGGAGGCGTTCAGCTCGCATTGTATTGAGTGTTTATGACAGTAAATAGAAATGGGACCGTTCGCTGTCACCAGTCATTCGCTGCTGGGTATTGCTGAGTCACGGGAATATGTCGTTGTGAATTACTGTATGCAGTTACTCTAAAACGTATATACATCAGAGATACATGCTAACAGAGGTTGTCATTAACTAATTTTGAGTTATCATATCATATTTACCGCACTTTAGCCTTTTCGGATAGCAGATTATTTTGTGAGGCTGGTGTTGTATGTTTACTGAAGATGTGTTGGGTGATACACACCACCGACACTTTAAAGACCACAGTAACTGCTCACCCAGGCTACACTTAACAGAACACAGTAACCGCTCAGCTACACTACACTTTACAGACCACAGTAACTGCTCACCTGGGCTACACTTTACAGACCACAGTAACTGCTCACCTGGACTACACTTTACAGACCACAGTAACTGCTCGCCTGAACTACACTTTACAGAACATAGTAACTGCTCACCTGGACTACACTTCACAGACCACAGTAACTGCTCACCTGGACTACACTTTACAGAACACAGTAACTGCTCACCCAGGCTACACTTTACAGACCACAGTAACTGCTAACCTGAACTACACTTCACAGACCACAGTAACTGCTAACCTGAACTACACTTTACAGAACACAGTAACTGCTCACCTGGGCTACACTTTACAGACCACAGTAACTGCTCACCTGGACTACACTTTACAGACCACAGTAACTGCTCACCTGAACTACACTTTACAGAACATAGTAACTGCTCACCTGGACTACACTTCACAGACCACAGTAACTGCTCACCTTGACTACACTTTACAGACCACAGTAACTGCTCACCTGGACTACACTTTACAGAACACAGTAACTGCTCACCCAGGCTACACTTTACAGACCACAGTAACTGCTAACCTGAACTACACTTCACAGACCACAGTAACTGCTAACCTGAACTACACTTTACAGAACACAGTAACTGCTCACCTGGGCTATAGTTCACTGACCATAGTAACTGCTCACCTGGACTACACTTTACAGACCATAGTAACTGCTCACCTGGACTACACTTCACAGACCACAGTAACTGCTAACCTGAACTACACTTTACAGACCACAGTAACTGCTCACCTGGACTACACTTTACAGACCACAGTAACTGCTAACCTGAACTACACTTTACAGAACACAGTAACTGCTCACCTGGGCTACACTTTACAGACCACAGTAACTGCTCACCTGGACTACACTTCACAGACCACAGTAACTGTTCACCTAGACTACACTTTACAGAACACAGTAACCGCTCACCTGGGCTACACTTTACAGAACACAGTAACTGCTCACCCAGGCTACACTTTACAGACCACAGTAACTGCTAACCTGAACTACACTTCACAGACCACAGTAACTGCTAACCTGAACTACACTTTACAGAACACAGTAACTGCTCACCTGGGCTACACTTTACAGACCACAGTAACTGCTCACCTGGACTACACTTTACAGACCACAGTAACTGCTCACCTGAACTACACTTTACAGAACATAGTAACTGCTCACCTGGACTACACTTCACAGACCACAGTAACTGCTCACCTTGACTACACTTTACAGACCACAGTAACTGCTCACCTGGACTACACTTTACAGAACACAGTAACTGCTCACCCAGGCTACACTTTACAGACCACAGTAACTGCTAACCTGAACTACACTTCACAGACCACAGTAACTGCTAACCTGAACTACACTTTACAGAACACAGTAACTGCTCACCTGGGCTATAGTTCACTGACCATAGTAACTGCTCACCTGGACTACACTTTACAGACCATAGTAACTGCTCACCTGGACTACACTTCACAGACCACAGTAACTGCTAACCTGAACTACACTTTACAGACCACAGTAACTGCTCACCTGGACTACACTTTACAGACCACAGTAACTGCTAACCTGAACTACACTTTACAGAACACAGTAACTGCTCACCTGGGCTACACTTTACAGACCACAGTAACTGCTCACCTGGACTACACTTCACAGACCACAGTAACTGTTCACCTAGACTACACTTTACAGAACACAGTAACTGCTCACCTGGGCTACACTTTACAGAACACAGTAACTGCTCACCTGGACAACACTTTACAGACCACAGTAACTGTTCACCTAGACTACACTTTACAGAACACAGTAACTGCTCACCTGGGCTACACTTTACAGAACACAGTAACTGCTCACCTGGACAACACTTTACAGACCACAGTAACTGCTCACCTGGACTACACTTCACAGACCACAGTAACTGTTCACCTGGACTACACTTTACAGAACACAGTAACTGCTTACTTACACTACACACAGGACCAAAAGACGGATAGTAAACCTTTGAAATAAACGTAAATACAGTAGGAAATACATGCCATGACCGGATTTACGTATGTTTTCAGATATTTCCTAACTTCGGGCATATATTTCATATGAATCTATACCTTTGAAACATATGCTCATCGTACATTTTCGTATGCACAAGCACCTCGTTCATGTATGCCCTGACCGGATTGTCAGGGATTTCCAAACATGACTTGCAAAACAGATACCCCGGGAGATACATGATCATACAGTATTTCCAATGCATTCCTTTGAATTTCAATGGGTGCTGAAATTTCCGGTTTCGTTCTAAGTTTACTCGGGTTGGAAACATGTGAATTTACTTAGGTGGGGAAACACATGTAAATTTTCAAATTTGCAAATATTTACACACCTTAGATATTTATGTATCATACCGGATTTCAGGGGTATGTATATGAACGGTTCATACAAGTTCATGTTACCTGTGCTCAAGCAAGATGATCATATGTTTCCATCAAGTGAATTACTTGGTTCATGTAATTTCATTTTCACACATTTTAGTACGTTTGAAATCAACGTTCACATGACCTCAATATTCTTATCACCAAAAGAGCCTGACAAAGAAAGCAGTATTACGCAAGCTAACACGCCTCATTAAGCTGCACTCGCTCTTGCTACCAGTATCAGTTACGCCTTGTCTGTGGTGTTGGCAAATCTTTGTGAGGTGCATGTTTCGAGGGATTAAAAGGTTCAGTGGTGAACAAAGGGCGATGCGATGCGTTGCCCCTTTGTCCTCGCAAGTGTCCCATTGTCCCAATAGAATAGCACTTTATCTCTCTTGGATCACAGCCAAATACACGACACGTACCAACTCGAAATGTTTTAAGTCTGTTCAGCTCGCGCATCACTACTGTAACGTTCTTTTGACAGTGGTGGTACAATTGGGTTTAACGTCGTGCTTGAGAATATTTCGCTCATATGACGACGTGCATGCGTGTGTATGTGTATGTGCAGCTGCTTGTACTAGCCCAGACTTAAGCTGGTTTTATAGTGCTAGCTCAGTGAGATACCATGCCGCAGTGAAGCATGAATACCCCACTCAGACACATAATACTGACTCCGAGCCGACCAGTCCTTGTTGTACCCATTAATGCCGAGCGCCAGGCAGGGACCAACAAGTACCATATTTTAACGTCTTTTGGTATGACGCGATTGGGGATTGAACCCGCAACCTTCCGCTCTCCGGGCGGACGCTCTAACCACTACACCACGGAGGCAGTCCTTTTGACAGTACATAATTGGAATATTATATATTGCACTGCATGTGACCTTCCTTAATAGTCTCACAGTGCTTGAACAATGTTATTTCTCCATTCGCTCAGCCTTTGCTGTAATAACGATATACATAAACTTTAAAGTTGTCCGCATTTGTTTCACTAACGCAAAAGTATACGATAACAAACAATGCCATATCAAATTATATATTCTGTGAGACATGAAATGCGAAATTGTGTTTATCGTGTAGCAATTATGACCGGATAGCACAGGCGGGTGCGTTCTCTGAGTATATCATAGGCATGTTGGATCTCCGTGCCTTTTGATTGTCCTGTTTAAATTTACGATCCATAAACTCAGATTGCGAGTAAATATCACGTAAGTAATTGTGATGTCGCATTGCTGTAAATTTCCCTCTCGGAGAAGTCATTTTCACAAGATATATATTCCCTTGTTTGGAGAAGGTCTATGGCTATTACGCCCCAGTTTTGCTAAACATCTTGTGGGCCTTTAGCCTGACACACACGCAGACCTCGCATGTTCAAGTTCAGATCTGACAGGGGCTGAAAATATCATTCCGACATGGGTTATTGTTTTCCTAAGTAAGTGGAGTGCTTTCTACAACATTAGAGATAACTGTATCGTTGTCCTTCTGATATTCCCCCGCTTTACCCATTTAGGGTACAATGTGTAAGTTACAGAATTGTAGGGAATAGTCTTAAGACTTTTCTACTTTGATCAGGAGTTTTCGAACTTGTAACAGTCGTTTGAGAAGATCAAAAGAGAAAAGGGTAGTGCGTGACGCATCTGACGGACGTATATGGAAAACGTTCGAAGATCTTTATAAATACAATAATAGAAATACCGGTTATGTTTAAAACGTACCCTCAATCTGATAGCCAGAGGGATTATTGTGAAAGATCGCAGTATGTATCATAATAAACGGGCCAAGATAAAAGTACATGTCATTCATCCCAACATTATATCCATTTTATAGACACGGGACATCGTTGTTACGGGTAGGACAAACACTTACTTCTAAAGGTATCTGCCGGTTTCACGCAACATACATGTGTTCAGATTATCGAGAAAACTAGCGACTCAAGTTCTCCTCCATCACACCAGAGACCATATAATCTATCATATGGCCTTTGATCACACATATAATTGTATAGATACCCAGTGATTACTGATAGCGATGAAGCAACTTATAAACATTTACGGCCGACAGTATCATCTGCATTACCCTCTTGCATAA